GCATCGGATGGAAGAGATCGAGTCAGCGGAGGCAAAGGCTCTCAAGAAGATTAAGGAGATGCAGGAGATAAAACCCTCAGAGCTCGCAAGGCAGCCAGAAAAGGAGCGGAAGGAATCTAAGAAGGCGGAGGAGGAAGGAGGAAGGAAAGACTTGAGCTGTCCTACCAGCGGTGTGCAGCTCAAGAGAACCTTGAAGGGTCTCAAGAAGGACCTGCCCTCCGTGCTCGCCCTGCTCACCATCATTCCGGTGAACCAGGTCAGCTTCCTCCTCCTCTGCTGCAGCACCTGAGGCTTCTCCTTCAGTTTGCTCGCCTCATGAGCTCGGGGATTGAGGAGGAAGACCTCGTGCTCTTCGTTGACGCCATCGCTGAACACGGACTGAAGTCACCCACCACCTCCTTCAAGATCTTGCAAGGGATTTCCAAGGTATTTGTGGACTCGAAATCTCCTCCCTGCTCCCTGCTCCCTGCTCCCCGCTCCCTGCTCCCTGCTCCCCGCTCCCCGCTCCTCTTACTCTGCCTACAGGTCTCTCGGATCAAGATTGCTTGTGCCATGTTGGACAAGAAGGTTCTAAAATCCTCTTTCTCTATCCTTCCATCCGTCCGTCCCTCGTCCCCCTTCATACCTTCCTCTCCCTTCCTCTCTCCTTCCTTCGTCTGAATATCTCGACAGGCCTCAAGAACTCTTCAGTCCGTCTTTCTCCACCTTCATCCTTCCAAGGCTGCCGAGGTGCTTCCCTCTTCCTGTTCTTTCCCTCCTGCCTGTCCCCCATCCCTCCTCTCTTACCTTCTCCATCCGCTCCTGCCCCCTCCGTTTCTTCTTCTCTCTCCTCCCCTTTCCCGCTCTCCTCCCTTCCCCTTCGCTGCTTCTCTTCTCCCGCTTCTCTTCTATCCTTCTCCCCTTTTCGCTCCTTCACCGCTGCCACCTCAACCTCTTCCAGGTGGAGCAGATCGACTACGACGTGCAGGCCTGGGCGCTGGTGCGAGAATCGTTTGGAGTGTGAAGACGAGAAGCATTGTAGAATAAAGAAACACCACGAGTTACGAAGAACAAGTTTTGAATCAGGAGGAGGAGGAGGAGGAGGAGGAGGAGGAGGAGGAGGAGGAGGAGGAGGAGGAGGAGGAGGAGGAGGAGGAGGAGGAGTTGAGAGGGAGACAAGGATGAGCAGGAAAGAGAGAAATCTGAATGGTTAGAACCTAAAGAGGTGATGAGGAAGGGCGGAGGGAGGAAGGGGAGAGGAATAACAGCAGGAGGGGGTAAAGGGAAGGGTTGCAGATCGATGTGGGAGGAAGGGAGGAAAGGAAAAGATCAGAGGTTTTGCATCATCCAGACGGCGCGCAAGGGGTTGATCTCGTCGAAGTCGCAGCGGACGGCCATGGTGGTGATATGCCACAGCCTGTGATGATACGAGTCAGGAGGTACGAGGAGGAGAGAAAGGAGAGAAGGAGGTAACGAGCAGTAGCAGTACTAGTAGAAGTAGTAGTAGTAGTAGTAGGAGGAGGAGGAGGAGGAGGAGTAGGAGTAGGAGTAGGAGGAGGAGGAGGAGAAGGAGGAGGAGGAGGAGGAGGAGGAGGAGGATCAGGCAATACCTTGGAAAGCTCGGGGAGTAGATGCGTCCTAGGCAGGAGATTTCCACGCTCTTGTCTCCTTTCTTCACTTCGACCTGCCGCAAGCTGCTGCCCCTCGTCAGACCCGAGCTGCTCGTCAGCTCCAGCACGAAGGGAGGAGGAGTCTGTGAGGGGATCTCGGCGATGAAGGGAGAGCCCGTGAAGGACGAGGCGTCGAAGAAGGTGTTTCTATCGCTGATGATCGCGTCCACCTCCACTCCAGCACCCAGCAGGTTCTTCGCTTCCAGCAGCCCAGCAGGCTGCTTCATCACGTTGCCAACGAGCGATGTGCGAGTGTCGAAGGAAAAGTGCTCGACGTCGATGACGTAAGAGGAGACACTGGCCGCCGCCGCCTCGAGCCTCTCGGATAGGCTGAGCATGAACATGCACACACATTTGATCGCCATGGCGCTCTTCTCCGTCACCGTCCACTTCTTGAGGGAGGGATGGAGCTCCGAGTGCATCTGCTTGGAGGTGCCGTGGAAGCTCGAAGGCAGGCTCGTCCTGATAGATCGGAAGATCCTAACAAACGAGCTCGCCCTCCTTGCCCGCACGATCTTCTTCACCTCCTCCTGCTTCTGCTCCTTCTCGACCTTGGGCGGGGTGAAGACGAGGGAGACGTTGAGAGTGGACTTGACGGGGGGTCGGAGGTGGCGGCTGACGATGCTTGCGAACTCAGTCGCCATCTGCTCAGTGAGGAACTCAAGGGATACGGAGAGGGAGGCAGAGAGCTTGAGCTCGATCTTCTCGGGGGACGCAGCATCCCTCTCCAGCCCCGTCACCAGCCACAAGGAGATACTCTCCTTGCTCGGGTCATCTAGGAACGACAGGGAGTTGGAAGCCTCGTCGACAGCGAGCTTGTGGTCAACCTTGTGCCCCTGGGGAGATCGCGCGAGGTACCTGAAGATGGTCTGCTGACCCTTGCGTATGCCTCCTGCCTGCACAAAGTGCGAGAGGATGGAGAAGAAGAGATCTGCCTCGTCCTGGGAGGCAAACGACAGGTTATAGTCCTTCTGCCCTCCTCCTGCTATGACGTTGCGGTTCTTGTCCAACAAGTCCCTGGCTATGAACTCGATCTTGACCTGTGCCGACCCTCGAGCTCCTCTGATGATCCTCAGAAGCTGTTGGAAGGGAAACTCGCGCACTATCCTGTCCCTCTTCCTGTTTCTGAGCATCCTGCTGTGGATGTCGATTTCAATCTTCCTGGTCTGTCTTTGCAGATAACGAGACTTGCTCGTCGTGAAGGCAACGACGTTCTGGTCCAAGTCAAACCACAAGGTCTCGCCCCGCAGCCTCATCAGTTCCTCTCGATACTGCCGCAGAGAGATCGAGTACGTCGCTCCTTGTTCCTGATCGCGCCTCTGCTGCGCGGTCTCGTTCCTTTCGAAGGGATTGACGAGGTAAAGGTTGGCGTCAAGGAAGTAGTGGGATCTAGAGAAGACCAGTGAGCGGAGGATCGAAAGTGGAGTAGGAGGAGGACGAGGAGTAGGAGGAGGACGAGGAGTAGGAGGAGGACGAGGAGTAGGAGGAGGACGAGGAGTAGGAGGAGGACGAGGAGTAGGAGGAGGACGAGGAGTAGGAGGAGGACGAGGAGTAGGAGGAGGACAAGGAGTAGGAGGAGGACGAGGACCAGGACGATGAGTAGGAGAAGGACGAGGAGTAGTAGGAGGAGGAGGAGTAGTAGTAGAAGTAGGAGTAGGAGACGTTGTACCAGGAAGGAAGAGGTGTGCTGCTAGGGGAAAAGAGCAGATGGGGATGGGGGGCGGCAGGAAGCCTAGAGGAAGGAGGAGAGGATGGAAAGAAGAGCAACAAGGGGAAGGAGGGACAGGAGTGTGGAGGAGGGAGGAAAGGAGAGGGGGGGTGAAAGGAGACGGGCAGCAAGGGAGGCCTCACCCATATCCTGACTTGACGAGGGAGGAAAGGGGGACTGAGCAATAACCTACGAGGGTGTTGTTATCGTCGTCCAGGCTGTTTCGCTGCTTTCGCTGCTGTTGTACGGGCTTGTAGAACACCTGGAGGCTCAGTGACTGATACGATCGCCAAGATGCTGCCGTCACCTCTACCAAGATGTGACTGTTCTTGGGCAAAGCACTGGAGACTGACTCGTGAGACAAGGAAAGAGCACGAGGAGAGGGAAACAGCAGCAGCAGTCACCTTATGTTAACCTCCATCATCTCCTGCATCCTGCTCGGACCGATCAGAGACAATGGTGCGAGAGGAGCAAGCAGCGCTGCTGCTGCCTTACTTGACTTCCGACGGACTCGAGTTCCAGTGCACCTTTCCCGTTGCTGTTGCAACCTCTTTTGAGTTCTGCGACTTCCAGGTCACTAGAGGGCAGAGCAAGGCCATGAAGAGTCTGCACCATCAGGTGACTCTTGTCGTCTGCCATGATCATGTCAAGGAGTTGAAGTTCTCAAGCACATCTAACCGTCGATTAGGCTGATCTTTACATAAGGATTGCACCTCTTCTGACTCGAGAACAGGATCGGCAAACTCCGAGCCTCCTTGACTAACACTTTCAGACGACCATCGTATGATCCTGTTTGAGAGATGTAAGAGACAAGATTCGTCCTTCCATTCCCTTCCTTCCCCTCCTTCCATCTCAACTTGTCATAAGTCTGTGTGCCCTATCTTGTTTTCTCTACTCTTTACTGACCCATTTTTGCTGCTTGCTCCGAGATCCAATCAAGGTTTGGCTCCACCGCCTTCGACAACCTAGCAGGGCAAACAGTGATGATAGACGATGGCTGACAGCGACGAAGCTCAGGAATCATGAGCAATGTTAGTAGACAGGTCGAGAAGTAGGTCGTTCCCAGCACATAGTCAACTCCGTCCGTTGTCAAGTCGGACTTCGGATTGCTGTCATGATGCAAGGTCAACAAACTCCAATATCACCAACTTGTCCTCACCTATCCTGGAAACCGACGCAGTTGATGAGCAGCCGTATCTTCATCTTCTCCGAGGAAATCTTTTCGCACAAGTCGCGAACTATGGGTATTGAGTTAGTGCAATGGAGATGTTGCATGTGAATTTCTACTTTCTGTAATGTTTGCAACGTTAACTTCATCCGCAATCAATCTATTGCCGTGCTCCTTCGAGAGAGTATCAAACCATGCGTTAGCTTTGTTCCTCCTTATCCTGCGAACATTTCAAAACCTCGTTGTCAGTGATGCCTGTTATCACCCTTGAGGAGGAATGAGCACTCGGACATGCCATCCGTGTTGTAGCAGCTTCCTACACACGTCCTGTCCACACCAAGATACAGATAAGAACAAGTAAGTAAGATGTTGCATGCAACAATTGAGTTTGAGATCAAAGGCAACGCGCGGCATGCTCTCACTTCTGCAATCCCCGAGCTTCCGCCTGTAACCAGAGCCCACTGGGAACTTTGCAGGTGAAGCTCAAGCACCTTGGAGCAATGCATTGTCAGATCCCTTCGGCAGCAAACACTACTTTTCCTAAGAACATCTATTTTTCCTGAAAACATCTACTCCAAGGTCGATGCAGCCTAGCTGCAAAGTACGTTTTGAGTACTGACTCCACCATGGTAGTCACCTCGCCTGCGCTGCATCGCCATCAACCTCTGTGCCACTACTCCCTCATTCTTTCTTCGGCTCTCTATCGTTGGTTCAGCCATGGTCTCCTCCCCCCTCTTCCTTCTCTTCTCTCGTCGAGCCCACATACCCGCCACTGACTTACCATGGCGGTCGACTCTTGACGCCGAACGAAACGGTTCGTAACGGATTAATACCTCTGTCACTCAGAACTCAGCAGAGGCCGCCGGTCCCGGCGACCGGGCCCGGCCCGGTGACGGACCGTGACCGTGACTTTTAAAGTTTTACAACTAGTAATATGGCTCCGTTTTTAGAATCATTTTCGATGTTGCCCTCGTTGCCACTGCAGCTCATACCGTCACGCACCACCCTACCATCCCTTTCCGTTTTGTTCAGCCGTGTGTACACCCGTCAATCGACACCCCTACCATCAAAATTCCAAGTGAAACGAGGTATTTAAGGGGTACTTAGTAACCCCCTCCGAAGGATGTACCCACCCTTGTTAACCCATCACCCTACCTGATCCTCACTGAGTGATCTCTGACTGAACAAAGTGAAGTGCTACAGCGACCGTACGCTCTAACTGAGGAGGGTGGGTACTTAAAAAGTCTAGAACACAGGGGTACTTAAAAGGGGAAAAGGGGGTGGGGAGGATAGCGAAGATAACCCCCACCAACACAATTCCAACGGAAGATGAAGTGATAGCACCGGTGGTATAACTTTGTGAGGACTTGTGGGTCAATGGGACCGGTGCAAGAAGAATCCACTTGCTATATTAAAAGACTTCAGTCCCTCCTTCCTTCTACTCCTCCTCCCTGTCAATCGGCGACTTACACATCCTCCCGTTGCTCACCCGTCATGGCGATGACTGATCACTATCTACTCCTTGTGCTCTGCCTCGCAGCCGTGTGCTCCTCCCTCCAGCAGGGCCAGGGCCAGCAGCGACAAGGAGAAAACAAAAACGTGCCAGGGTTTTCAAATCAACAACCGCCGCCTTCATGCAATAACAAGGTACGTCACACTACCCTCTTTCCTTGCTAGACACCGCTTCTCATCTGCTTGTACAGGTTTGCATCAACGCTCATTGCTTCATGGAAGACAACAGGCCCATGTGTCGCTGTTGGAACAGCTCCTACGTTCCTGCTGGCCCCGACGGCTGCATCCCCGCCAAACAAGTCGGAGCTTCGAACCAACTTGTCCAAGACAAGAACGACCAGATGCAGGGGGCGATGGGCGCCATGGAGAGGGCCAAGGCCTGCACAGGGTCTACGGTGCCATGCCCGCCATTGCCTGAGATCCCAAGCGACATGCACGGGAAGTGCGTCAAGACGTTACGCGACTGCGCCAACGGAAACCAGACGGTTCTCAACAAGATGGCGGAGAAGAGCAACAGCTGCGGTGCGGGCAGCATGGTAAAGGCAGAGAGAGGGTCGGGGAGCCGGTTGTGACTCGGTAGCGCAGTGGTGCCCGCTGGAAGCCATGTGCAGCAAGGGGATCCCATGTGCCCCTCCCAACCCTCCGTGCAACGCAACCTCTGTGCGCTGTCCGGACTGGAGCTGTGCGGCTGATGCCGCGAGCTGCCCGAGCAGCGGCAACGGCTCTGTGACCTGCCCCGACGGCATGACGACGGCCAGGTACGCAAGGCCTGGTGGCGAGTAGAGCCGACAGCACGCGGCATACTTGAGACAAGCTGGGAGCGGGCGGGCGGACGAGGGAGGGAGGGAGGAGCGGGAGGGAGGGAGGGAGGGAGATGACTGGCTTGTTGCAGCTCCTTCAGAGCGTGCGCGGAGAAAGGGATCTTCTGGCAGGGATGCCCCCCGGGATCGAAGCCTTGCTCGGCCAACCCCAACATCTGCGTCAAGCATCAAGATGTGCGTCGCTCGCAGAGGAAGCGGCTGCGCGGGAGCTCGCTGACCTTGTGCTTGCTGCTTCAGGAGTGCGAGGCGCTCACCGGGTGTCCCGAGACGATGAAGGTACGGGCTCGCTGCGGGCTTCGCCCTGCGGCTGCAGTCGATGACGGGAGGTATGGCAGAGCTGCGGTCCTCAGCGCAACGCTCAGGGGGTCGCCCTGTACAACAGCTCGACCAACAGGTACAGGTCGCGACATGTCCTGCTCTGACCGCTGACGGGAGGAGCCGCGCAGGCCCATCATGACCTGCGCGTCGCAGTGTCAGTCCCGGCCGCCTCAGCCTGCTCCTACCACCGCTGCTCTACGACCCGGACAGGGGTCGGAGGCGATGGAGGTGAAGGCGGCGGACGGAGCGGTAACGCTGTCTTGCTGGGAGGGGGGAGAGGCGGCTGACTGGCTTGTTGGCTCAGCCTGCGTTCGCGATGAAGGCGCTACACTCCAACGCCTTCCGTCGCATGGACAACCTGTCAGAAGCTGTCAACTTCACCATCGCTCCTGTCTCCGCGTCGGCGCTGCAGGAGGGCCCTTTCGCGCTGCTCTACTCGTCCGGAAACATCGTCAGCAGCGTCATCACCATCGAGCCCTCAGCGGCGCTTGTCATCGACGGGGGCTTGACGATCGACATCCCCATTGACGGTGAGGCAGCATGACGGGAGGCGAGGGAGGGGCCGGGCATGTGACAGGAGGGCTGGTCGCAGGGAGCAAGGAGATGTGCAGCCAGATCTTGCAGAACGTGCAGATGGTGGTTGTGTCGGACCTGCTCAACTTCAACGCGACTCCGGAGGGCCTTGGGAACTGCTCGATGGGATCGGTAGGGAACTGCTCGTGCGCAGCGACGATCTATCACTTCAGCACCTACGGTGAGCAGAGGAAGGAGGAGATCAAGGAGGAGGAGAAGGAGGAGGACAAAGCAGGCAAGGGAGGAGACTGACAGTGCCCGATGGCAGCTGTTGCCAATGCCTACTACACGTCCCCGACGACGGACTCGGGCACGACCAACACCAACTCACCGGGGAGCGATACGACAACGACGACGACGACGACGACGACGACGACGACGACGAGCACTGAGGACAGCGGATCGCTGAAGAATGGCTCGCCTGCAACGACGAGCTTCAAGGTGAAGCGCAAGACTGGTGGCGAGGCAGAGCTGACGAATGTGCAGGGGATGATGTTGCTGAGTGTTATGATGAGCTTGGGGGCGATGCGTGTATATAAGTAAAGGAGATGTGCGGTCACGTGACATCATCTTCGCCCCTGCTTTGGTCTCTTGGCCTGATCTGTCCTGGCCCCTCATCGCCTCCCGCTCTCACAGCCCACGCGCAGTTACAGACTATGGTGCGGGATGAAGCCAGTGCAGTACGGATGTGGGAGATCCGACGGTCCCATTGGTTCGGACAGGACTTTACTACAAACTACTCATCGCCTGGAAAACGGCATGTACTGCTGGTCTCGATGGAGATCGGATGTGCTTGTACGATGTGAGGTAGGAACGTTATCGCAACTCCAGTAGTGTTGTTGCACAGTACAAGTACTACTGAGATGAGGCCCATCTCTGACTCTATCAAAGGGAGGGTAGATCCTCTCTCTTCTATTCCTCGGAGTACGGACAACGGATAGCAGTGTCTGTATGGTCTGCTGTACATGAAGGAATCTGGCTTCAAGCTTGCATCCTCCTCGTCCCAAGCGCGTCTTGGCTACTTCGTTGGGAAAGCTCCCTCATCAGCAGCATCTGCTCCTGTCGTCGCTGCCTCCACAAGGCTCAGGTAGTGCACGAGTCTGGCGCATGCTCGGTCAATGCGGGATGGGGGATGTCGGGTTTTATTTCACACACTTGACAACGTCCTGCTTGATCCTCGCACTAGGCCTCGCGCACGGCATTCTTGTGCCATCGACACTCCCGCCGGCCTCGGCCTGCAGCTTCTCGATGTAGGCGATGGAGTGGGACAAGGCCTCGACTTGCTTCTGCTTCACCAGGGAGAGCCTGGCGTATCTCTCGCTCAGCTTCGTGTCCTCGCTGACGAGGGTCGACACCTCGGGCTCCTCGGCTGGCTCATGGTCGCGGGTGTCCTCGGCCTCGTGCTTCACCTTGTGCTCAGGCACGTGGGAGCTGGGGAAGCTCTCGGGCCCGCTGCACATCGGGAGCGGCATGCAGAACGGAAGGGCCGGGGAAGCATTGGCGCTTGCGATCAAGGCAGTGCGGCTGACGCTGAAGGTCTGGATGCACATGGTGTGTGAGGTGTGAGGGGGCAGGGAGTAGGGGGGGCTTGCGGTAGCTGAGGTGAGGGGGAGGAGGTAGACGAAGGAGGTAGACGAAGGAGGAAGACGAAGGAGGAGGAAGAGGAAAGTTTGTTTGTGGAGACCGTGCGGAAGCGAGATTGTTCCCCTGTGTTACGGAGGGAGGGAGGGGTCAAGGAGTCGGTAGGCCGGAAAGCAGAATCCTCAGGGAGAGGGGAGAGGAGGATAAGATAGAGAGAGACATAGGAGAAGGAGAGGGTATACCCCCCATCGTTTTGCCTTCAGCCTGCCGATGGATATACAGCACCCTGTCCCGGGGGTGCAAATTTCCGTAGACCACCCTACTAGTACCCCTTCTCGTTTCCCTGGGAAGAGTACCCCTCCTTTGGGAGTCTCAGTCAGGTCCCTGCACGTCCCCCAGCGATTCCAGTCAGCTTGCGACCACGTAAACCTTTTTACTACCTGATACATGCACTCTGGGGCGGGCTCGCAGACCTTTCAGGGCCTTCTTCGGAATGTTCCGACCCGCACGGTGATGGTAGTAAAGTTCGGAAAGTCAGCTTTACTCAATGATGACAAGCATACCATCGTTTGGTGTTCGAAAACGAGTCTTTTCTGCAAACGTTGACAACACAGCTAGGTAAGATGACCCGAATCACTGTGAACTGACGGATATGACTGAGTCTGCGCAGGAGGGGGTGGGGTAGAAAAAGCAGAGATGTCGGTATGGTGGGTGGGGTTCGGCATATCCATGAAGCTGGAAGTGACCCAGTAGAAGAGGAACGATGGGGGGTATACTCTCTTCTTCTCCTATGTCTCTCTCTATCTGATTACCCTCTCCCTTCTCCCCTCCCTCTCCCTGAGGATTCCGCTTTCCGGCCTACCGACTCCTTGTACCCCTCCCCCCCCCCCCCACCTTCCGTATCCTTTACACGAGCAGTCTCATCTTCACTCCCCAAATAGATCCTTAAATCATTCGTATCTCGATCTCCTCTGCTCCTCCTCCTTCGTCTTCCTCCTTCGTCTACCTCCTCCCCCTCACCTCAGCTACCGCAAGCCCCCCCTACTCCCTGCCCCCTCACACCTCACACACCATGTGCATCCAGACCTTCAGCGTCAGCCGCACTGCCTTGATCGCAAGCGCCAATGCTTCCCCGGCCCTTCCGTTCTGCATGCCGCTCCCGATGTGCAGCGGGCCCGAGAGCTTCCCCAGCTCCCACGTGCCTGAGCACAAGGTGAAGCACGAGGCCGAGGACACCCGCGACCATGAGCCAGCCGAGGAGCCCGAGGTGTCGACCCTCGTCAGCGAGGACACGAAGCTGAGCGAGAGATACGCCAGGCTCTCCCTGGTGAAGCAGAAGCAAGTCGAGGCCTTGTCCCACTCCATCGCCTACATCGAGAAGCTGCAGGCCGAGGCCGGCGGGAGTGTCGATGGCACAAGAATGCCGTGTGCGAGGCCTAGTGCGAGGATCAAGCAGGATGTTGTCAAGTGTGTGAAATAAAACCCGACATCCCCCATCCCGCATTGACCGAGCATGCGCCAGACTCGTGCACTACCTGAGCCTTGTGGAGGCAGCGACGACAGGAGCAGATGCTGCTGATGAGGGAGCTTTCCCAACGAAGTAGCCAAGACGCGCTTGGGACGAGGAAGATGCAAGCTTGAAGCCAGATTCCTTCATGTACAGCAGACCATACAGACACTGCTATCCGTTGTCCGTACTCCGAGGAATAGAAGAGAGAGGATCTACCCTCCCTTTGATAGAGTCAGAGATGGGCCTCATCTCCGTAGTACTTGTACTGTGCATCAACACTACTGGAGTTGCGATAACGTTCCTGCCTCACATCGTACAAGCACATCCGATCTCCATCGAGACCAGCAGTACATGCCGTTTTCCAGGCGATGAGTAGTTTGTAGTAAAGTCCTGACCGAACCAATGGGACCGTCGGATCTCCCACATCCGTACTGCACTGGCTTCATCCCGCACCATAGTCTGTAACTGCACGTGGGCTGTGAGAGCGGGAGGCGATGAGGGGCCAGGACAGATCAGGCCAAGAGACCAAAGCAGGGGCGAAGATGATGTCACGTGACCGCACATCTCCTTTACTTATATACACGCATCGCCCCCAAGCTCATCATAACACTCAGCAACATCATCCCCTGCACATTCGTCAGCTCTGCCTCGCCACCAGTCTTGCGCTTCACCTTGAAGCTCGTCGTTGCAGGCGAGCCATTCTTCAGCGATCCGCTGTCCTCAGTGCTCGTCGTCGTCGTCGTCGTCGTCGTCGTATCGCTCCCCGGTGAGTTGGTGTTGGTCGTGCCCGAGTCCGTCGTCGGGGACGTGTAGTAGGCATTGGCAACAGCTGCCATCGGGCACTGTCAGTCTCCTCCCTTGCCTGCTTTGTCCTCCTCCTTCTCCTCCTTGATCTCCTCCTCCCCCTGCTCACCGTAGGTGCTGAAGTGATAGATCGTCGCTGCGCACGAGCAGTTCCCTACAGATCCCATCGAGCAGTTCCCAAGGCCCTCCGGAGTCGCGTTGAAGTTGAGCAGGTCCGACACAACCACCATCTGCACGTTCTGCAAGATCTGGCTGCACATCTCCTTGCTCCCTGCGACCAGCCCTCCTGTCACATGCCCGGCCCCTCCCTCGCCTCCCGTCACGCTGCCTCACCGTCAATGGGGATGTCGATCGTCAAGCCCCCGTCGATGACAAGCGCCGCTGAGGGCTCGATGGTGATGACGCTGCTGACGATGTTTCCGGACGAGTAGAGCAGCGCGAAAGGGCCCTCCTGCAGCGCCGACCCACCCAATGTCTGATCTTGCGATGCAGGCTCATACCTCTACATATTGCAAGACTAGGAGCAAGAAGAGGCTGGGTGGAGGCAACTTTCAGCAGAAGCTCGTGTTTTTTGTGTGAGTTTCTTTATTGAATAAGGATTTACATGCGAGTTTCATGTGAGTTGAATTTTTTATTCAAGTCATTGAAATGCCATGATGGATAATGGATTTGATAATGTATTGAAGTCATTGAAATGGATAATCTATTGAAGCCTGGCATTGAAATTGATAATGGATTGGATAGTCTATTCGAAGTTCTTGCAGCAGCGGTGGGATTTTGAAAGATCGAGCTTGTTCCCTCCATCCCATCTAAGGGAGGACAGAATCAAGAAACTTCAAACCAAACAGGAATACTGGCCAGAGCAAAAGAAGAAGCTTGACAAGGAGAGGAATGATACAGTGGAATACCTCCGAGCACAAAAGGAGAAGCTCGACAAAGGAGAGGGCTGAGGTCCGGGAGACAGAGGCAGACATCGCATTTTGGACGGAGAAACCCTTGAATCGTGATCTGGTTGGGCACAGAGAGGCGAACAAGCTCTTCTGTGTCGATGGATCGTTTCTTGATTCAATCAGCTCGGCACAAGCTGACGACAGGGTGTGCAAGGCCGGGTGTTTGGGTTGGATTCTAGGGCCTCCGGGGACGGGGAAGACGGCGACGACGATGTCCTTCATACAATCGCGAGGCATTGAGGAGGGATGGAGGGTGATATGCGCCTGCCGACAGTTCGGTGGCTTGGATAAAGAAATTTCTCAGAGAATGGGCACCAAGCAAGAAGAAGTCTTTGGTGTCTATAGATGGTTACATATTGGGGGTGCAAGCACATGATTTTACGGGAGAATCGGCGGCTTGTGATTACGACATCGATGAGCTCTCGAGCAAAGAAGAATTCCGAGCAAGATGCGAGAGAAGGTCGAAGAAATGATGGTGTATTCGTGGACAATGGAGGAGTATCTGGAAGCCTGTAGGTACGACGCGTTCTGTAAGAGTGTGGCTGATGTGATGGAATGGAGCTTGGATGAAGGCGAGAGAGACATGGATGAGACAGAACAAGAGAGAAGGTCGAGAGAAATCGAGCCAAAGGATCAGATTGTAGGAGGCTCATGCCGATATGTTTGAACGTGGGACAGATGAAGCGATCCACGAACTCCGTGACGGGATACAGGCTGTTCCTGATTTTGCGTCCCTGTTTGACATGGGGATGGGAGAGCGTGCAAACAATGCTGTGAATCGCCTGCATGGGAAGTATCGTGTCGGAGACGAGGTGCACTGGACGCTCGTCAGCAGGTTTGTTTCCACGGAGCTAGCACAGAAGCTTGGAGAATCGTTTGTGAGGCAGATTGAAGAGCTCTCTGACGCAACCGGGAATCCGACACTCAAGGGTGTGTTGTTTGAGATGCTGTTCTTTGCTCGGATAGGACGAGGGGCAGGGATGCAACTTACCATGAGGTAAGAGAGACACACGACGATCCAGAGAAAGTCGTCGATTGGAAAAGCTGTAACGTGAAAAGTCTGGATGCAAGAGAAATCAACAAGCTGCGGGGCAAGATGAAAGTAACAAGAGTGTGCCTGAAGCCGTTGAAATGGAATCAGGGGGGTTACGATGCTGTGATTGTTGACTGGAGTGAAAACTTTGTGCGCTTCGTGCAGGTAACGACTGGGCAGTCGCATGACCTTAAACTGCAATACATGGCAGAGTGCCTGCAACTTTTGGGCATTAGAAAGGATGAAAGCTGGAAGGTGGAGATAGTGCGGTAGAGTAAGATCTCCCAGATGATGGTCCTCCGGTTCCTGCAGTGCTGATGTATCCGAGCTTGAATGCCAGCACTAAAGATGAGGGTTTTCAGTTGTTTGATGCTACGCACCGCATAAGCCCGGGCCCCCGGACGCTGCGATGCATGAGAGCGCTTGTCGCAGAATGGCAACTGGGAGCCCGTGAAGAAATTTGTCGATTGCAGTCAGCATACTGATGGGGTGCTGTTCGAGTGTACCATGGATGACGAGCCGGGCGGCCAGAGGTTGAGGTGAGGGACGCGTCCGGGGATGACTCACGAGGAGCCCACCATCCTCCTTCCATCAGGCCATATACATAAGGAACACGATCACAACGATCACGTCCTGGTAAAGTCGCGGGGTACGAACCTGAGAAAGGAGGAGAGATGAGGGTGATGTGCGTGAGGGTGAGGGTATCAAAGTGAGAGTTGGTATTGGGATCTTTCAGTGTTCGAGCAGAGCAGCAGTTATTGCTCCAGCTGGAGGAGAACAGATGCTCTATAATATGATCAAGTCGCACCGCAACAGGCCGGGCGAGGAGTCCGCGGACTCCCACCTCCTTCGCTCTCGATCTCGCGGATCTACCTTCGCGGTCCTGAGTCCATCCCGACAACATTAGCATCAATCTCCTCCTGGCTGTATGCCCACCCGTACTTTCTAAGTATGTCTTTGTTTTCCACATGTCTCACTGCGAAGTTGTAGAGGTTCTCCTTCTTAACGATAAACACAATCCTCACCTCCCAGTTCCCCCCTGGCTCAACGCCCAAAGAATCCAGGCACTCAGACATGTATCGCAGTTTGAGGTCATGTGTCTCCGCAATGGATCACCTGCACGAAACACACCGACGTCTTGTTCCAGTCGACGATCACTGCATCGTAAACCTCCTTGATTCCATTTCAATGGCTTCAGGCACATCCGCGTCATCCCATTCTCCGAGCCCTCGTCGATTTCGCTTGTGTCCAGATATTTCACATCGTACAAACCCCAGCGGTCCCATTTCTCTGGCACGCCTGGTGGCTCTGACTCCCTCCCTGACCTGAGCAATACCTGCAGCCCTGGCTCTCGTCCTATCCGAGCAAAGAACAGCATCTCAAACAACACACCCTTAAGTGTCGGATTCGCAGCAATGCCAGAGAGCTCCTCAATCTCCCTCACAAAAGATTCTCCAAGCCTCTGTGCTAGCTCCGTGGCAACAAACCTGCTCACAGGCGTCCAGTACACTTGGCTTCCCATGCGATACTTCCCCTGTAGCCGATTGACAAACTGGTCTGAAGTATCGCCCATGCTCATGTCAATGAGCTTCTTGTAATCAGCGACACTGTCCATCGCTTGACGAAGATCGTTGATTGCTTTCTCTGTCGTATGTTCGAACATATATCGGCATGAGCCTCCAACAATCTGAAACTTCGACTCCACCTCTCTAGACCTTTTCTCTGCTTCTTTCACATCCGATTCCAAGCTCCATCCCATCACTCCAGCCACACTCACGTAGAACAACTCGTGCCTAATGGCCTCTAGGTACTCCTCCAGTGTCCACGAGTACACCATCAGCTCCTCTACTTTCTCATTTCTATCTTGCTCAGGTTTTTTCTTTGCTCGAGAATTCATCGATGTCGTGATTACAACCCGCCGATTGGCCCGGTCCTGGTGGAGCCACAATACACATTCAGTAAGCACAGACTCATGTAACCCCTGTTGATAACCGTCCAAGGACACGAGATACTTCTTGTCGCTCTGTGTCCATTCCCGAAGAATCCTCCTCAGCCCCTTGTCAATCTCATTGTGTGTCATCTCAACAACTCTCAACACTCCTTGATCGACTTGTAGGACTTTGACTGGACCCCACTTCCACACCCGTACGCACATCACTCCCCATTTCTTGTCCTTGCTCAGCGATAGGAGGAAGGACAT